GGAGGCGTGGGTGGAGAGAGGAGGAGGAGGAGGAGGAGGAGGAGGAGGAGGAGGAGGAGGAGGAGGAGGAGGAGGAGGAGGAGGAGGAGGAGGAAGAGGGAAGGAGGGGAAGGAAAGGGAGGAGGGGGAGGAGGGGAGGAGGGGGAGGAGAGGGAGGAGGGTGAGGGTGAGGGGAAGGAGGAGGAGGAGGAGGAAGAAGGAGGAGGAGGAGGAGGAGGAGGAGGAGGAGGAGGAGGAGGAGGAGGAGGAGGAGGCGGAGAGGAGGATGAGGAGGCGGAGGAGGATGAGGAGGAGGAGGAGGAGGAGGAGGAGGAGGAGGAGGAGGAGGAGGAGGAGGAGGAGAGGAGGAGGAGGAGGAGGAGGAGGAGGAGGAGGAAAAGGAGGGACCAAAATGGGACCAAGACGGTTCAAGAGAGATCCAAGAGGGCCCCCCAGAGGGGCCCAAGACGGTCCGAGGGGGCCCCTTCGGGGGCGCACAACGGCCAAGAAATCGAGGCAGGCTCTAAGACGACCTGGGGTGTTCCATTTTCGTGTTGTTTTCGTTTTCCTTCGTTCTGTATCCGTTTCGCCCGTGATGCCAAGCGACACTGAAACGAAAACGGCCCACGAAATCGCCATGACGCAACTTAGCTCGAGCCCTGCTGAGAAGGCCCGCCCCGTCTCGCTTCCCCCCAGGCGCGCCGCCGAAAGGTGGCGATCGGCTCTGCCGAGGAAAGGCGAGCCGCCGTAGGCCTCGTGGCGCGCCAGCCCAAGCCCAGCGCCGCTCATGGGGCAGAACGGCGGCGCGGGGCGGGCGCCTGGCGGGGAGCGCGGCAGGGAACCAGCCCCGAACTGATCCCTAACCCCCAAGATCGGCAAGCCCAACGCGACGGCGATCTTCGAAGTGTGCCTCGGGAACTGACGGAATCCACGAGGTTGGCACCGAGGCGAAGTGATGCCAAACATACGGATAAGGAAATGATGATGTTTCCTCGGGGGACCTTGCTTGTCCCGTCGCGGCCCCATCCGCGTCGAATCCGTGTCGAGCCCGTGCCGGACTCGTCGGGTCCGTGTCGGGTCCGCGTCGAATCCGCGTCAATTCCTCGCCATACCCGCGTCGAGTTCGCATCGAACCCGCGTCGGGCAGAAGAGAAGGCGACAACTTTAGGGGACAAGCTAGGCCCCCCGAATATGCAGCGTAGGGGAGACGCTCCGAGCTCGAAACGGCGGGGAGCGCGACAAGGGCTGCGCAGAGGCCCCGCCTCCGCCATCATCCGGAGTAGGGCGCCCCGGAGGACGGGCGACGGGCGTGCGTAGCACGCTTCGGGGGGCGCACGTCGACGGCGTGTCACAGAGGGAACAAGGAGGGGAAGGCTTCGTAGAAGGAGGCTTCCTGGCAGGCGCCGGCCCGACATCTACGTATAAGGCCCGCGCCTTCTGAGAATCAGGGGTGCTTCTAAAAAGCCCCCCCCCTCCCCCTACCCCTGAGCAGGGACCGACCGTCCCGGCAGTCCTATGGGCCTACCACGAGATGTTCTTAGAACCTAAAACGTTCGAAGAAATACTCCGACGGTAGGACCCCGCACGAAAACCTATTTAGCTTGCCCATCGCCCTTTTCTTCTGCAGTGCACCCTGCAAACAGCCCGGCGGCGAATTGTAGAGCCATGCTGGAACCTTGCGGCCCGCTAACCGCCAGAGCCTGTCGGCCCCAGCGGCGGGTCGCA